GGCCGAGTCCCGTGAGCAAGGACCCGGCCACCAGGCGCTCGCCTGCGAGCCCCAACCCCGGGCCTGGCTCCAGAGTGGGTGACGCCAATCCGGGCGACGTGAACCTCTTTGCTGTGTTTTTCTTCATCAAAAGGGGGGGGTTGAACCGCTATTTGTCTGATCCGTCGCCTAGGACCTGTTTGCCTTGGGAGACCCTACCAGGGGCGTTAAGCCCCCGACAACATAGCTCCTAGGTTCATTTGGATACTCAAACCCCTCCACCACGTTAAGGTTGCGATTCAAGGAGAGGCAATTGAAAATGTAAATGTGAAAATATGAATTTTCCCCGCGTACCACTAGAGAGCGCTCGCGTACCACTGGCACCACACACTTTTAAACAACTGCATCGTTTCACTTTCATTAATTTGAATTGAGCTCAAGTTAAATGCAGCATATAAAAACATCTAAGCTGGCGCATCTTGATTGACGGCTGTGATCACCTGACCACTAATGTGACCGCTACTAAAATGTCTCATGGCCCGCCAGAAATTTGTGATATCAAAATGAGGTGAGAAGCCAAGAAAGGTTGGGAACCACTAATCTGTAGACACATGAACCCAGACAGGCTTAAAAACAAACCTACTCCCTAGATGCACTTTGACAGAAGTACACAAGAGTAATTTCTCACCTTAATGTTTTTGAGCAGAGAGGGTTCTTTGCAGTATTTACAGTTCAGTGTCCTTTCTGGACACTCCCTTTCATTGTGTCGCTCCTGTTCATTAGCTCTCATTAGCTCTTTACAGGAAGGACATAAGATGATCATGAAGTCACAGTGGCCCTCATGGATCGCCTGCAGGAACACAACAAAACAAAGTAACACCATGGTAGTCTGTGTGGCTTTGAAAAACCCTAATTTTTTTCAAACCAAAGATGTGGATCCACTCCGTTACTTTGTGCCAGCAAAACATTGAACTATTCCTTACCCATATTATCCAGTAACATTTCTAATACCTTTATTACCAATTATTAATACCTATAATTTTGATGCAATTCAAATATCCACTGATTCAGGCACATTAAAAGCAGAATGTAGAGTATGTGTTCTTCAAACTCATATATAATGTAAATGTAGCTTTAGCATTTAGCACCTCAAATTCTTTGATAGTTCCTGTCCATGTGCAGCCCTCATTTGGACAGACAGCAGCCAAAGCTTCCACCTCTCTGCGAGCTGCATTGTCTGGGAACGCCTAACAAAAAGCAGAAACACCGGTCAGTATCATCACACAGACATATACTTAAACATGTAACATGCTAAGTTACCCAGGAAGTTTTACCGCAGGGACAAAACCCACAACCAAGACTCAGTTCTGCTCCTTGCTGCTGAAGTTCTTCCTAAAACTAAAATATTTTCAGATTTATCTTTATAGCATTTCCATCCACTCCTTGTTTCCTCCCTTGTGTTTCTATTCCATCTCTGAGCACAGCCAACATGTATGGGGTCAAGTTCTTGTTCTGACTCATCAGACCAAATTATCTTCTTCCTGTTGATGTCATCTCCATTCACAATGGTCTCAGCAGACTTAGGTCTGGTTTTGGAGGTACGGACATGACTGTCCATTCAATAGCACGGCTTTGGTTTTTTGTTTTGTTTTTGTTTTTTTGGGTTTTTTTACACTTTATTTACAGATAGGACTCAATTGGTTATAAGGATACATCTTTCTGTCTTTCTAGAGTGAGGAAGACTAGAATACAGAACTGTCAGAACTGAACAGAACTGGGTTTTAATGCATCCTTAGTGGATCGATCAGACTTTGTGGTTGCCCATCAAGGACAAGGACTGTCTGTTTTGCATTAAACTATGCATTATAAATAAATAAATACAAAAATATTATAGATGTAAAACACATACTTACACCCCCTTGCTTAAGAATAGACGTTGGCTCCTCAAACAAGGCTTCTTTGATGCAAGCACTGCATTTCTGTGGTCCAGAACTTATAAGGAGAGAAAACAAACACTGATGTCAACAAAGAGAAGTGGTGGTCATTAGAGACTTAAAAATGGCAATAAAGAAAACAAAATTACACAAAAGTTGTTGTTTTTTCCACTGATGTGATACAAAGTAGTTAATGTATGGAATGTATGTTAACTGGACATCGTTAATTCACAATGGGTCTGGAGGGGGGCGGGGGGGTTACCGGTACAGTCCATGAACGAGTTTACCTTGTGATGGACTGAAGAACTGTAGCCAGAAATCTATTGTGAATATTTTTCTACACAATCGTAACTTATGTCTTAGCTGGAATGTTAATAATTACTTTATGATCGTTGAATCTACAGTTTTATAGAAGACGTTTGATTGTCTAACAGCTCTTCTCTTCCACTCGGTCACACTTTTTTATTATTTAAACGAGGAAATATAGGTGTTTATTTAATCAAATTTATGCCAAAATTCATTGTGGTTTTTGGATTTGCGAATGTATTCCACAGTGATATTACATTGTGTTGTTTGCAACAGTGAATACGGATAACTTATTTTTTAATAATGTCCTGTAGGAATGATCAATTTACAGATTACAATTTATAAATGCTCTTTAGCACGACTAAAAATCCCATAAATTGTTGCAATAAAAATGAGAGGCGAAGTTATTTCATGTGTGACGCGTGTTGACATGTGTGTATTTATTAGCGGAACTGTCGTTCAAATGGAACATATGTGAATGAGGGTCTGTACAGATACTTAGCTGCGGCGCTAACGGTTCACCATGACAGCACTTACCTCACTATTTTGTTAAAGCAGAAGCTGCAGAAGCGATGGCCGCACTGCGCTTGCAGCGGCCTCCTTAGAATCTTCTGGCACGAATTGCATAAATGTTTGTCTTCCAAGTCGTTGGCAAGGATTTTCTTTGGAAATCCCGGTTTGTTACCTTCTAGAGACGGTGGTGGAGAAGGTTCCTGTGCAGCCATGATTACCCCCTCGAGGGCTAAGGAGTGGGTGTGATCACTGAGCAGTGTGGGATTGTTTTATATATATATATAAAAGATACATCCAGACAATGCTTAATGCTGCTGATACTGTTTAGTTTATTTGTATTTCTTGTTAATGTTCATGTGTGCAAATAGAGAAGCAACTTGCGTTTATCTGATATGTGATAAGAGAGACCAGTGAAAATGAGGATACTACGGCTGCAGTTTACCATGTCTACCAGCAGGTGTCACCAACTAATTTGATTTCCTAATTTTAGTCAGTGAAATAAAATGTGCAGAAACTGAAGAAGCAGATACAAAAGAGCTAAATGATCCCGCAATAGTTACATTTCCTTTGTCTAAGGTGTTTGAAAACCCTCCAAAAACTATGGCTAAGCCTCCCACTAACAGTTTAAAAAAGTACTGTAGGTGCTCAAACGAGAAAAATGTGCAGTACTTGGGGTAGCTAAAGAAGATGATCTGTCTTAATCCCACTCTATCTGATGCCTGCTGATGCCTTCTTACACCAATAATCTTCTCTCATAACATCAATAAATCTTCTCAGGGATGTTCCCCTTTCCTCTGCTTGGCAGCCATTTACAACAAAATCTTTGCTGTTGTTCTTCAATTACTCCTGATACCTGTTTCCACCCAACATGCAAAATGTATCTCTTCTAAATAGTTTTTATTTCTTCAAGCAAAAAAACAACTACATTTCTTTATATTTTACATATTACTGGAGTAATTAGTTCATTAACATTTGTTCTAAAACTTTTTATTAACTCAACCGGAAGTGTTACACAGAGCTTTATTCCGTAAGAGACGTGTACCGGAAATATCAAATTGTTTCGCTAAAAATAAAACGTTATTTCACATTTATTGAGGGCGAGCTGTTATTCTGTAAGTTTTCCTATGTTTTTGTGAGCACAACCTCTAGTTTCCCGGAAAACGTCGAATACACTCATTGAATTAAGCAAATGGCAGTTGTAAATTGAAACATATAATTGTAATTGTCGTGTGTTTAACACTTGAGCTTTACGTTGAAGTCATCACAGGAAGTGTGTGGTTTGTGTGACGCACTGACGCTCGATTCGTCTCCACTTTCTTCTTTATCATCTCTTTTTGCAAAGGAATGTCGCTGCTGCACGTCTGTGCTGATGGAGAAGTGACAGAGATGCTCCGAGTGGAAAGGATGTCTGGACTGAGGGTGTCTCTCCAGTTAAATAGCCGTGAGTATTTGTCATTTGTGTCAAGATAAGAAAACGGAAATAAAAGCACTGGTTATTTCGTCGTGAAGTGACAGTGAGCGAAGAGAGAGGAGGAGGAAGCTAACCAAAGAGCTAACACTCTCTTATTATGATAGAGTCAGATGATAGCGTTAACATTTTTTTCACTAACATGTCTGTCGCATCCCCGTTGAACTAAACGGCATAGTAGTGTTATTGGCATTTATATAAACATTTTTGGAATGAAACTGTTCAAGCATCTTTGTTGCACTTATAGCATGTGCAGCTAATGCTAAATGGTTGACAATAAACTATCACCCTCTTATTACCAAGATTATATTAGAATTAAATGTGTGTATGTTTTTATAACTGTTAGTGTTTCCACAAATATAATACACGGTTGTTTATAATGAAAACAATACCGGTGGTGATAATTACGTTAGCCGAGCTTGTTAGTGAATAATGAAACGACTCCAGTGATACTGATCCAGCTCATATTAAGACAGTATACCGCGTAGAGACGTGGACATGCTCTGATGCAGATAATGTGCTGACATTTTAAGTGAGAATTATGTTCGTTAGTATGCATGTAACTCATAAATATTTTGATAGCGGCATGCATAGCAAAATATTTGCATTTTGATTATATTAAAAATAGATCAAACTACCCCTGCATCCTTTTAATAATAAAATGTCACATTAGTCATAACATGAACATTGCTGTCCAGAAAAGATTCAATTAGCATTGTTTTCTGAACCATTCCTGAATCCTTTTGTTTATGTATTACTTCATAGAACTAACCTATACGTGACTTCTAATATTCACCTATTTCAGTTGCTACGTTACGCACAAATGAGGATGTAGTAATAACAATAATATATAATATAATAATATATAATAATGAATACAGTGATTGGATAACAAATACCCAGACAAATTAATTGAAATTACACTTGTAGATGTGAATTATTCTTTAAATATTTTTTAAAAATTGTAATTGTATTCTTTAGCATTTATGTTAATTATTGGCTAAAACTAGGATTCACGAGTGTTTGACTTTTGTGGCCTGGTCTGCCTAGTTACCCTTTTACTTGTGGGAGTTTTAACAAGATCCTCTCCACATTTTTATCAGTTGAATGAAAAATATTTTTCTCCTTTTTATGTTTATCATTCTGTTTCAGACTTGTAACTGAGTAAAAGCAGCAGGCTTAGAGTATAAGCTAGATTATTGTTTAAATCATCACATTCAGATTTCTTTCTGAATAATTTCAAAAGGAGACATTTTGACCATAATATCTGTCTAATGTATACTTTTACTCCTTTTAAGGAACCGCTAACAAACAGTCAGCCACTCTTTTGCCCTTGTTTTATGAATCAAGCCTAATCACACATCAGCCACATGGTTACATACGGGTCAAAGAGTTAACCTCATGACCAACAGAATGGACAAGCATTGGTCACAAAGAATCATTCTTTTGAATAAACACATTTTAACGTTGACTTGAAAGTTATTGAACAAACAACAATATAATTCTTTATGCCAGAACATATTTTATATTTATATTTTATATAGATATTAACTACATGCATAAGTACTAGGATTTAAAAATAAACAGGATTGGTGTGTGAACACAATTAAGTTATTAATCAGTTATTGTAATCACTGACATTAAATTTCCTCAAAAATTGTATTATTGTAACCCGTTTTTTTTTTTTTCAGACAATGCTCGAAGGAACATGGTCATTATTTCAACAGATGTCGGTCTCCATCACAATCATGGACGCTTGAGTTCCTGAGCTGTCAGCAACAGGAGCTGTTGTTTAACAATTTAGCTGAAAAAAATCACTTCACTTCAATCCACTTGAATTGCTCCTTGTTTCTAATCCAGCTTCTGAAGCCTTGTAAAAATGTTTTCCGCACTTAAGAAGCTGGTGGGCTCAGAGCCAGGCCAGCTCAGGGATAAGAATATTCCGGCTGGCCTGCAGTCCATGAACCACAGTCTACAGAGACGTTTTGCCAAAGGAGTGCAATACAACAGTAAGTTTAATTCAAACAAACATGGGCCTTTTTTCTTATGTCCGTGGCCTTAATGACTGATCTTTTTTTTGTCACTTCAGTGAAAATTGTCATCCGTGGAGACAGAAACACTGGAAAGAGCACTTTATGGCACCGACTTCAAGGGAAGAAGTTTGTGGAAGAGTACATTCCAACTCAGGAGATACAGGCGACAAGTATCCACTGGAATTATAAAAGTATGTTACAACACCATTAAATACCACCATGATGGCCTTTTTTTATTTATAACTGTACTTCTCTACTGATGCTTCTTTTCTGGATTGTGTTTGTTTGATTTATCTCAGTGGCTCCATATCAAGGTAAAATGAGGAAGAACTGTTTGTAAAGTAGCAATGTGTATGTTTGTGTTAGTAAAACAGATTTTCTTCACTTATTTCTGTACTTTTCTAACTATTTATTGAAGGCCTTCGAATGAAATAAACTATAGTGGGATCTTTATGCATTTTCAATGTCAAACTAATAGAATAACTATGACAATAGTGTGACAGTAGCAAGGACTATATGCACTTCTACCATAGAAGCAATTTGCCATTACCCTGGACAGCAGCAGGAGTGAAATGCAGTCCATTAACAAAAAACATAAACAAGGTAGTAATAAGTACTGTTTACTCTGTGACTGGTAGTTGTATCTTGTAACATTTCCACATAATACTTCAGTGTAACCAAGGCTTTAATCAAGATTTTCTTCATTGTCTTTGTTGCCTAAGGACATGATTAAGGAAAACGCTTTTTTTGTCTTTCAGCTACCGATGATGTTGTCAAGGTAGAGGTCTGGGACGTGGTAGACAAAGGTGGGTCTGAACTGACATGCTAATCACAGTCATTCTTCTGAAACTGACTTCTGCTGTTAGCCTGCATAGAAATTTCTTATGAGGAAATCATATAGTCATATAGTCACATGGTTGCTTGTTTGTTGCTTGTCCTGTTCCCAGTGTTGATATTGTCTTTTTTAACCTCTTTCACACTCATCTCAGGTCAAAAATATGCTCTTCCTGAAGGTGTAGGTGAGCTCCATCAACGTGTGTAGAAACCAAACTTAACTGTGTGCAGTGGGCTTGTCTTGACTCTTCTCACCCTTTATCTGAATGTAAATATTGTCAAGGGTTGGCTGTTTCCAGGTTTGCTACGTGGCAACCTGTCGCATTTCAGCTCATTCTTTCTCTGGTTGCTGTGTTTTATAGATAAAACTTAAGTTTCTCTACATGAGTCAGCAGCAACTATTTAAAGGGATTGTTCAGGTTATTTAAGGTTAGTTGACCATATTTTATTATTGCCATGACTTGAGTACCTTCGATGAAACAAAGAAAAGCCCAAACAAACTTGTAAAATCTACCATACTACAGGGATGATTTTCAACCTTTTTTTTTTTTTTCTTTTTTTTTTGGACCTGCAAACCTTAGTTTATAAACCACTCATTCTCCTGCTCCAGTCCATAGGGACATTTTTAAAAGTTCATAAACTTTTTTGTGATGGTGGTGTTTAATATAAATTACTCAGCTATGGAAGAGTGATACATAATTACTACAGAACGAGAAATTAAAAAAATAGATTTTTCTCTGTGCACCTAAGAGTGACACACAAGTTGCTGGGTATATACCTTTTATTGATTTATTTGTTTGTGTCACTGAGTCTTATCTTAAAGAATGACTTCAAACCACCGGCACCTTATTAGTTGCATAATACGTCATCACTGTGGCATATTACAGTGTTATATGCAAATCATTACAATGTCATTTGAAGAATTTCCCTATCTATGCTACATTTAAATAAAATGTTTGGTAAAAAAAACAACCCAAAAGATTAGCCACTGATGGTTTGTCATCCCTGCTGTGTACAGTTGATTTCTCTGCCTGTATCTTTGAAAGGTAATTTGCTACTGTGTGCACTACCTACTGCTTTTGTGGTGGAGGACCTCTTAGCAAAAGTGTGGCGATGGTTGAGCAGTGACACAAACCACTCCCAAAAAAAACACTCGATTGTCCATATGTCTGACAAGAGCATGGACAATGAAGTGTTTTTTTCTTTGTGTGCATGCATAGAAAGCTAATGTAACAGCGGCTCTGTTCAGAACATTGTCATTTATTTGTTTAACAAAAATGCTGCTTTAACTGCACACTTGAATTCCCTGAATGGTTACAGATGACAATGCACAACTAATGTTACAATTATTCACATTATATACAATAGCTCATGTTCATTTAGGCTGGCGTTGAAATGCTTTAAATTGTATAAATAGCATTCTACTGAGCTGTTTGGTGTGACTACAGAGGAGCTTAACTCCATAATTCTAAATGACCTCCAGCAATTTCCTAATTACAACTAGACTTTTCAATAAGCCACTTAGTCATTTCACTTACCCAGTGTAGTATCAGAAAATTCTAATGCAGTATAATGAGGAGCTGCAAGAAATCTGGAATTGTGGTAGGACAGTATTTGTGGAGTCAACCAGTTTTGAGGCAG